AGTTAGAATGGGTTGTTTTGCCTTTCATTGTTTTAAATTATTTTGAATTTGTCTTTATTTTCTCTCAATTTTAGTGTTTTGTATTTAAACACTAAAGATCATGATTGTGTTTTCTAAAGAAGAGGATGTTTTAAATGTTTTTTTTGACATTTATACTATATGTTGTTCTCTTTTAAAAGTTATATTTCTATATTAGAGATGAGCATGAGACGTTAGTATCGACTCTGAGTATATAGAAATTTAGGGTCGTTACAAATTTAGATTGACACGACATTAATGGATGGTAAAGAGTGATTGTATTATAATTCATGCCAAGGATTTGGATAAGTATTCAAGATCGAGATTCAGTACCTCCGACATTTTCTTATATCCCTTACAACATGATCATGCTACTTATTCCTCACTTCTAAGAATAAAGATTATACACACAAACCAACACGAGTTTTTTCAGCATGCTTTGTGACATGATCATGTTATTTATTCATCATTTCTAAGATTGAAGATGAAGAGTTTTTTCAGCATGTTTTGCAACATGATCATGTTACTTATTCATCGTTTCTAAGATTGAAGACGACGAGTTTTTTCAACATGCTTTGTGACATGATCATGTTACTTATTCACGTTTCTAAGATTGAAGATGACCTATTCCACAACTCAACACAAGTCATTATAGCATGCTCTATTCTCACTCTCATGCTTCTTAGAAATTTTTTGAAAAGGTCACCCAGCGTAAATTTACTCCAAGCAAAACATGCTTATATTAATTAACATTACTATTATATTTATATATAAAAAACATAACTATGAAACCCTAAATACAAGTTTTCTTTGTGTGTATACTCGAGTATATACAATTACTAAAAACAAGCCCCCACCAGCTAGTACATTTTTTAGAAAATAAAATCCAATAAACTCTAAGTAAATATATCTCAATTTATTTATATTTATGAATTTTTAAATTTATTGGATTCTAGATTTTCAAATATGTTGAATTTTGTTTGGTGAAAGGGACGTGGTTTGAATGTTCGTCCAAAGAAAAACTTTATTCAACCCCAAATTTTTAGATTACAATTCATTGAATTAATTTGAGAGAATCATGACATTAAAGTTAAGACATCAAAAATATCTTACCATAGTCTCCCGGTTCATAATTAAAATGCATAGGAAAATTTGAAGTTTGAATAATGGGGAAGAAATTAAAAGCAAAACCAACCTCCACGACTTTGATTCAAGATGACCCAAATATGGTTTTGGCTAGTACATCGACCGTAATTCTGATTTATTGGCAAAGAGGCGGAGAAACGAATTTATCATTCAATTTGAATCACTTCAAGAACGAGAAAAAGAACTACCACCCCCTTCTACATTTAGTTTTCGGTCGAAAAAGTGTAAACTCTTCAAGTATTTGACATGTTTTGCTTAAGGTAAGAGATATTCATAAGGTAAGGACAGAAAATGTTTCTCCATGTCTGCTTGTTATTTCGATTCCAATTCTCACAAAAAAAATTAATTTATTTTTGTGAGGATCCCGATATGATGATGTGATGACGTTAGATGATAATGTGATGATGTTATATGATGATGTGATGATGTGATGATGTTATATGATGAATTGATTGTGTTAGATAATATGATGTGATAATGTAATATGATGATGTGATGATGATAATGAATATGATGTTGACATGATGATGATGATGCATAAAGATGATGTGAGACGTATGATGATGAAACGACTTAATATGACGATGTTACATATTAAGATGGTAATTGTATTAAATGTCACGATACATTTGAAGACAAGTTTTCAAAGACGCAACCCTAATTAATGTTAATGATGATGAATGTATGAAGGTCAATGCGTGCATGTTACTAGAGTAATGTGTGAATAGTGTATAAAGTTGTGTCAAAAAGATGATTTAAAGATGAAAACTAAGGGACTTCATGCATTTTGTGTGTTTATATAGATATTTCTCCATTTATGACGATGAGTATGGATGTATATACTATGATTAAAAGTGGTCATGCCTAGCATGAAACTTAGGGATCTGCTGACTCGGCCATCACTATGGTTACCTTGATTATGATGGGTCCAAGGGGTGCGAATCACTGGGGACCTACGCTCGCACATGTGAGTCATGTGTAAGGAAGTTCTACACATTCAATTTTTTTCGAATGGGATACCCTCTATGATGGTTTTTAAATTATAAGCCCCTAGATCATGAGTTGCATATGTTCACGTTCTCTAACTCCAACAGTGGGGTTACTTATTGAGTATTTTTTAAAATACTCAAGCCGTGTGCTACATCTTTTCAGGTAAAGGCAAGACACCTCTATATAGCTAACGACGATATCGCAATTCGAGATCATGACACATGCATAGGGTAACTGTACTTGTTTTCTTAGACTTAGGTTAGAAGAGAGTCTTTTAATTTTAACATTATTTATTTTATTTAGTTTTTTGTTGTATCATTTAAAAGATGTTTGCTAAGCGTAAGTCCACGACAATGATTTAAAATGAAGTTTATGTTTTATGATAAAATTTTAAATATAGATGATGATGGCAGTAGCAACTCTAGTACTCGGTGTTTATGATATATTTTGAACTTTGATTACTTTCACTTTAATGCGTTTATTTGAATCTAAATTCACCCAATAATTGTCTCTCTTCACAAGACTTTCTCATTTTTTGATTTATATATTACTCTCATTTCATACAATTTGCAAGCAAGCAAGAGAGTGGGATGACAATATAGTGAGTGTGGAGAAGAATCTCAAACATCCCACGCCCTCTTTGAATGGTATTCCTGATGATGCTGCACAAAATCAAGAAATTAGAATTGTGATGCAGTCTGAGGTTGCCGCCTTTCAACCAACGCCCCCCCACCTTGCTTCAAAAAATGGAGACATCGAGACCGTTCGAGCTTTGTTGGAGAAGAACACGAGTGCTTGCTTGGTTTACGATAACAACGGGTTCATTTCTCTCCATTATTCAGTAATTAATGGACAAGTCGAGATCATGAAAGAGCTTATCAATGCAAGGCTACAATCTATTTGGATGAAGCTTGACGATGGTCAAACTATTTTACATTTATGCGTAGAAAGTAACCATTTAGAGAGTATAAAGCTGCTTATTTAAACATTTATGAATACTATCCGCTGCTTATTCAAATATTATAAAAGAAAGTTTAGATATCTCAAAGTTGTGTGTTTATCAAATACTATATTAAGCCGTTGATTAATGTGTATGCTCTTATTTTGTTTCGAAGTTGTGTGTTTAAAAAATGTACATCATATTATAGATATCTCAAAGATAACGATTACTATTTTCATCTTGTCAACATGTTTGCTAGATTTTTTTGCACCATCTTCTCTAAACACATCACCTTATTCCACTAATCTGTGAGTGAAATGATATTATCTCTGTCTTATCTTTGAATATAGACCAGGTTCTTCACCAACTGAATGAAACTTTGACTATCTGTATAAAGAATCATCTCACGCTACTTCTTGCATAAGAATTCTAGATGGTCTATCATTCATGTCATCTCTCTTCGAACTTCAGCTATTGCAATTCATCCCATCATCCATGAGTTGCTCCCAACTGTATCCTTCAACCATAGGGTCTCATAAAAGAACTCTAGTTCCCATTCATCAGTCAGCAACAAATAGTGTAATGAAAGTGAATACCCATCTGGTACTCTAATTGTTCTTGATGATCTTCTCAACGTCTGCTCATGTGTAACGATCCTCTTCAGCTTTTGCAACCTATTAAGCCTTAGTAGATTAAAGAGCACCACAATTCCAAAGCCTAGATATCCAACTCATCCCATTATCCATGAGTTGCTCCCACTTAGTTGTATCCTTCCACCCTAGAGTCTCAGGAAAGACTCCTAGTTCCCCTTCATCAGTTAGCAATAAATAGTATAATGAAAGTGAATACCAATCTAATACTCTAATTGTTCTAGATGATCTTCTCAACGTCTGCTCATGTATAACGACCCTAAATTTTCTACTTAACCTAAGATTGCAAATGTACACATATCATGAACATTTAATGCGAAATTAACTTTATTGAAACTTTATAATAACTTAAACTTAAACTCAAACAAATTATGCAACTAAATGGATATGCAATTTAACCGCACATATAAAGATTGCATGGGTTAATCTTCATTGATTATTAACTTGTATATAAAAAAAGAATATACTTGTCATTTCCATTTAGTGTTTGATTGAAAATGAATTTTTAAAATTATATAGTCAAATCAATGGGAAAATTATATTTTTTTAAAAAGAAATATTATTCTCTATTTTAATGCAATAATGCATCTTAATATTCTTATTGTTTATTTATTATTGGCTCGTAGAAAAAGTCATATCAATTTAAAAATTATGCAGTCAAATCAAGAGGAAAATGATACTCTTTTAATATATTATTTTCTCCATTTTAACTCGACGATGTATCATATTATTTTAATAGTCAAATCAACGAGGAAAATAATACTCTTTTAATATATTATTTTCTCCATTTTAACTCGACGATATATCATATTATTTTAATATTTGTTGCATACGTTATTTTATTTATTTATTATTATTTGGTAGAGAAAAAGAATGTGTGTATACTTCATTTTTGTTTGATTATTGAAAGAATAAGACTTTTGAAAATTACTAATCAACCAGAAATTTATCTATCTATATATTCTTACCTTTCTAAATTGTATCAATTAAACCAAATTAGTATTCGTACAAATTTCAATTCGAAATTCGAGATAAATTTAGAGTTTATATTAAACAATTCTTTTATAAGGTTACACGTCGTCTTCTATGACATAATAAACTATAATATTGTTGAAAAATATATAATTAGTTTACTTAAAGACTCGCAAACTTGGGGCCTCATTCATCTACTATGGTTTATCATATATATATATATATATTAGTGTTTGCATAGTATTTGGGAGCAAGAGAATTGGATTAAGAAAGAGATAATAATAATGGAGGAGATTCACCCACAACCTATACCCTCTTCCAATTCTCCATATCAACCAAATCAAGAAATTAGCATTGTGATGCAGTCTGAGGTTGATGCCTTTCAACCAACGCCCCTCCACCTTGCTTCCAAAAATGGAGACATCGACACCGTTCGAGCTTTGTTGGAGAACAACATGAGTGCTTGCTTGGTTTACGATAACAACGGTTTCATTCCTCTCCATTATGCAGTAATTAATGGACAAGTCGAGATCATGAAAGAGCTTATTAGTGCAACACCACAATCTATTTGGATGAAGCTCAACGATGGTCGAACTGTGTTACATTTATGTGTAGAAAGTAACCATTTAGAGGGTATAAAGCTGCTTATTGAAACGTTTATGAATCAGCATGAAGGCTTCCTAAACACAACTGATGACAAAGGAAATACTATTTTGGATCTATCAATGATGCTCGGACAAAAAGAGGTAAGTAACTAGAAATTGTTTTAAATGGATTCTCTCGATTATCGTTATCAGAAAGAGATCGTCAATTATATATCGATAGGTAATGAAAACGTTCTCAACTTGTATTCTCTGTAGATGGTGGAGTATTTACTTTCGATTCCAAAATTAATATGTGGCACGAGCTTGACAAACTTCACAGCCTCAAATGCTACGAAAGAAGGTCCGAATTTACAACAGACCGAGACAATAAAGCCTAAAAGACAAAAGAGAAAAATTGTGTCGTCGTCCACCAAAAAGATGAGAGGGCGGGTGATCGTATCGAGGAAAAGATTGAAGTACAAAGGAGATTGGGTTGGAGAAGTGCGAGGGACAATTATGTTGGTGGCTACAGTAATTGCAACTGTGACTTTTCAAGCTGGAGTGAACCCTCCCGGTGGCGTTTGGGAACAAGACATTTTATACAATTCCACTAACGGTATAAACAATCAAAATGATGAAATGAACTAATTACCTAGCAATTTGAACAACAAGACAAAGTTAGCTGGAACTGCAATAATGGCATATCAACAACCATCATTTTACTGGAGTTACTCAATGGCAAACACGGTGTCATTTATGGCCTCTGTGGGCATTATTCTGCTAACCATCACTCGAGTTCCACTAAAAAATAAGTTCTCTGGTTGCATGTTGACGCTTGCCATGGTTGTAGCAGTGGTGTTCTTAATGTTTGGGTATCTGCTAGGAGTTGCAATGATTAACATCGACCATTCCTACCGGCCTATTACAAGTTATGCCTATATATTTGGAATTTACTTTTTGCTTGGGTTGGTTGGATTGATTTTTCTATTCCACATAACTCGTTTTTTTAAGTGGGTGATTAACTTATTCCACACTTAGATGTATTAAATTTTATTTTTAAATTTTATATGTATTAATAGATAGCTCGATCACACATGTATTCTCAATGTATAAATTAATATAAATAAACATGTTATACGTTAGCTCTATACCAGTTGTTAGGATTGCTCAATAACCCACACTCGATCAACACAAAGGATGGACAGAAAGAAAATTCAAGTTGAGTTGCAAATCCTTTTGGCTTGTACACTATTTGAAATGACTCTAATGGGAATCAAACCCAGAATCTCTGGTTTCCCAGAAGATCGAACTCCGAATCTCAACGCCTTATCCAATGAGCCACAGAGTCGTCAATACATTTTAAAAAATATTCTCTAGTAATTTTTAACTATTTGGAAGAATTAAATGGTTGAAAATAAATAGATGTTTTAAATTCCAACACTTGCCATTTTTTTTTGCTTAGTTTCAATGGATCATGAAACAAACGACTCTCCGGGATCAAATCGAGAGAGTCTCTAGTTTCGTAGACCAGCGCCTTATTCATTGGGCCACAGAGTCCTTAATACATATATTATAGTCGTTTTTAATTATTTGGAAGATAATTTTTTGAAAATGTATATTCAAATTGAGTTGTAAATCTTAATTAAATGCTTGAATTTTTTTTTTTTTTTTTTTTTTTTTTTTTTTTTTTTTTTTTTTTTTTTTTTTTTTTTTTTTTT